GATCTCACTTATAAGAGGAATCTAACGAACAAAATAATGAGCAAAACAGAACCAGGGACATGGAAACACGGAACAGACTGACAGCTGTCAGAGGGGAGGGGGTTGGGGGAAAGGTGGAAAGAAGGGGAAGGGATTAATCAAAGAACATGTGTGAGTGACCCAGGGACATGGACAATGGTGTGGGAATTGACTGTGGGAGCAGGGGGTGTGCTGGGTGGAGGAGGGCAAAGGGGAAAAATTGGGACAATGGTAATAGAAAAAAACAAGAATAATAAAATTAAAAAATGTATTGAACTGGACACTTAGAATCTGTACATTCTATTGTGTGTAAATTATGTCTGTCTTTCTAAACCATCCATGAGTATTAAATAATCCACAAAAAGGTACTACTATATGTCATCTGAATGTGGTGACCAATTTTGTAGAACCCAATGCCAGGATATACGGTCTTACAGGTTCATACGTGCTTATAGGAACAAAGGAATCACATACTTAACATTAGAACTGTCCTTGAAAATGACAACTGTATGAAGATTTATAGGTGTCATAAAGCCAGGACACTATAAACACACATAATTTGCTTCTCTTGAAAGTGAAGATAGCTCCTAAGGTCTTGAAAAAGTAAATACTGGTGGGCATTTTCCAGAGTGCTTGATGGGGGAGAAGAGTTACCAAATACCAGAGGGCTACAGCATATGCCAAAGATTGCAGAGGAGGAGCCAATGCTTCAGGCTCAGTGTGGATCTTGAATTATATCCTTTTAGCAAAAATAAGCATCCTTAGTATTCAGTATATAGGCTCCTCAAATCTGAATTCCAATCTACTTTTTTTAGGGAGGGAGTCTTCCTCCCTACTTCTCCCTCTCTGCTTTAACCAAACTAATGCCATGCCTGGGATCTTATAGGTACTTAATATCTGTTGAAAGACTAAGAATAATGAGTTTTACTTCCTCCTTTCCAACTTGAATGCCTTTTATTTCTTTTTCTTATCTGATTGCTGTGGCTAGGACTTCCAATACTATGTTGAACAGGAGTGGTGAAAGTAGGTATCCTTGTCTTGTTCCTGATCTTAGTGGGAAAGCTCTAAGTTTTTGCCCGTTGAGTATGATGTTAGCTGTAAGTTTCTCATACGTGGCCTTCATTAGGTTGAGAAATGCTCCCGCTATTCCCACTTTGCTAAGTGTTTTTTATCATAAATGGGTGCTGTTCTTTATCAAATGCTTTTTCTGCATCTATTGATATGATCATGTGACTTTTGTCTTTCATTAGTTTATGTGGTGTATTACGTTTATTGATTTGCTAATATTGTACCATCCTTGCATTCCTGGAATGAATCCCACTTGTTCATGCTGTATGATCTTTTTAACATATTGCTGGATCTGGTTTGCCAATATTTTGTTGAGGTTTTTAGGATCTATTGGCAATATTGGCCTGAAGCTTTCTTTGTTTGTTATGTCTTTATCTACTTTTGGGATTAGGATAATGCTGGCTTCATAAAGAGAGTTTGGGAATCTTCCATCTTCTTGAATTTTTTGGAATAATCTGTGAAGGATGAAGGTTAGCTCTCCTTTAAATGCTTTGTGTGTTGGAGAGGATGTGAAGAAAAAGGAACCCTAGTACACTGTTGGGAGGAATGCAGACTAGAGCAGCCACTGTGGAAAACAGTATGGAATTTCCTCAGAAAACTAAAAATGGAACTGCCTTTTGATTCAACAATTCCAGTGCTGGGACTATACCCTAAGAACCCTGAAACACCAATCCAAAAGAACCTATGTACCCCGATGTTCATAGCAGCACAATTTACAATAGCCAAGTGCTGGAAGCAACCTAAGTGCCCATCAGTAAATGAGTGGATCAAAAACCTGCAGTACATTTACACAATGGAATTCTATGCATCAGAGAGAAAGAAAGAATTCCTACCCTTTGCAACAACATGGATGGAACTGGAGAGCATTATGCTGAGTGAAATAAGCCAGGTGGTGAAAGACAAATACCATATGATCTCACCTTTAACTGGAACCTAGTCAACAAAAGAAAAAAGCAAGCAAAATATAACCAGAGACATTGAAATTAAGAACAATTTAATAATAGCCAGAGGGGAGAGGGGAGGGGATAGTGGGGGAAAGGGTTTTTAGGAACCACTGTAAAGGACACATGGACAAAACCAAGGGGGAGGGTGGAAGCAAGGGAGGGAGGTAGGATTGACTAGGGTGAGGGGAGAAAAGGGAAAGAAGGAAGGAAGGAAGAAAAGAAGGAAAGGAGGAAGGAAATACAAAGTAAACAAAAAAGAAAAGAAAGAAAACAGGGAAGAAAAGAGGGAGGGAGGAAGGTAGACAAGTGAAATTATAAACCCTCCCCTCAGTGAATTCCTACTCTACAGAAAGGATTTGATAAACTCAGATCTAAATGTCATCAGCATAACCACGAGAAGCTTGTAACTAATCTAGACTAGTGGTTTTCCCTCATGGCTGCACACGAAAATCACTTAAGAGAGCTTTTAAAAAAAATCTAATGCCACCCCTCCCCCTGCCAAAATCAGATTCAGTTGAATTGGAGTGAGGCTTTTTTTCTAATGTGCAGACAGAATTAACCATTTCTGGTACAGTCCAACCCTGTCAGAGGTCCAGAGAGTTGATGTCACTTCTCCATGGCCAGAGAGCTAGCTGGTAGGTGACAGAGGCAGAAGAACTCATAGCTGCAGCTCTGGCTGGTATGGCTCAGTGGATTGAGTGCCAGCCAACCAAAGGGTCGCCCGTTTCATTCCCAATCTAGGGTGCATGCCTGGGTTGCAGGCCAGGTCCCCACTGTGAGGTGCATGAGAGGCAACCACACATTGGTGTTTTGTTACCTTTCTATCTCCCTCCCTTACCCTCTCTAAAAATAAATCTTTTTTAAAACAGGTCATAGCATCATTGAGTCGCTCTAGCTAGCTTTTATTGGCTATTTATCTCATGAAGTCCTTCCTTCTCTCTACATCTCTCAGATGCAGTTTTTCTCATTCATATATTCATTTAACAAATAGTTACTAAACACCTACCAGGTGCCCAGTATATAACAATGAGCAAAACAGCCAGTTTCCTCTCACCTTACCCTCAACAGGAAGAGCTTGAATACTGGAAGGCCTTTCTCGATCTGGATCATTCTGTCTCTACTAGTTTGTGAGCTTCTTGGAACGAGGAACCATGAGTGATTCATCTTTGGAGCTGCAGGGCCTGGTACAAGGGCAGACTTGATCAAGGTCTGATGAATAAATACATGGATACTAGTGATTCCTGAATCCCCTAACACGGAATAAAGAAAACAGAAGAATGTCAGGAAGACCACTTGTACTCATCAGGACTGTCTCAATTTTATGTCATAGAAATCCAACTTAAATTTTCTGAGACAAAAGAGGGCATGTATTTGTTCATAACTGGCAAAGACAAGTGTGTAGAATCCCAGACAAACCATGTCATTAGGGCTCTGTGTCTCTTCTCAGTTCCCATCTTAGTTTATATCACCTTGGCTTCATTCTTAATTTCGGGACTTGCCACATGACAGGCAAGATGGTCCCCCATACTCGCTGATTTTAGCAGTCCCAACAATGGCCGCATATAATTCCCAGAGGAGATTCTTAGGGTCCTGTCAGCCCATCCTTGAACAAAACACTTTGCTGGTGAAGATATTCCTATCTTTCCATCTTTCTGTTCCACCATCTTACTTAGTATGATGACTTTTGACCTCATCCATGTAACTTCATGGATGCAAGAAAGGTGCTGTAGATCTAAACATTATGATTGTCTTCAAGGCAGGAAGAAAGGAGAGGGGTAACCCTAGCCTTATCTGTCACTTTTTTTAGGAAAGCAAAAACCCAGAAACATCCTGAGAAGACTTCTCTTAAACCACTGGCCAGCACTGGATCACACTGCTACCCCCAGCTGTAAGGGAAGCTAGAAAATCTAGTTGTAACAAACTGGAATAGAATTTCATCACACACACACACACACACACACACACACACAAAAGCATGTCCTTACTCTCTGTGACCAACATTAATTCCTCTCCCACCCCTCGCTCTTCTGTCTTTCCCCAGGGTTAAAAACTCTTGCTCAGAGTGTCCATTGAATCCTGGCCTCCCTTATCAAAGTGATACAAGCACAGTACAGCAACTGGATTTCTAAAGAGGTATCCCTATCTGTCTTGTTCATAGTTGTAGCTCCAGCACTTGCTTCATTCCACCGATGTTCTCTAACTTACCTACCCCGTGTCAGGTCCTGTGCAAATAGGGAGGCTCTCAGTGAACACTTCTTGGATGGATGGATGGTGGGTGGGTGAGTGGGTGGACAGATGGGTGGATGGTGGAAGTTTGGGTGGCTAGATGGTGGTGGATGAATGGCAGATGGATGACTGGGTGCATGGTTAGATTGATGGATGGGTGGATGAGTATCATCACCATTCAATGGCTCCACCCAGAGCAGCCAGCCTGTGGCTCCCTTGCCCCCTCTTCTCACTCCTCTCCCCACCCTCTCCGGGGTTTTAATTTCGCTTTCTTAAAAGTCCTCCTTTCCCTTGGAGCCATTGATTAGATGTCCCTGCTGGTCCTCAGGCAACAGCTAGTTCTTTCCCTCCCTCCTGCCACCCTGCATCCAGCTGAATCTTGAATCAATACCAGTAAACTGGGTGTGAACGGAAGGAGACTGCTCCTTATTTGCCATTATTTACCTCTGTGTGCATTCCCGCATTCATTCTCTTCTCTCGCTCTCTCTCTCTCTCTCCCCCTCTCCCTCCCTCTCTCTCTCCAAACTCCTAGGGAACTGGTTCCACCAGAGTGCAACCCGCTCATCTGCATCTGGCCCTGGGGACTTGCAGGAGCCAGTACAGGAGGAAGAGGAGAGGGAAGGCAGGCGGGAAGGCTGGAGCAGCAAGAGCGCACAGCCAGGCAGGGCCACGCCACAGGGGAAGCCCAAGCTGACTCACCGCCCTGGCCTTGCTCATGAGGCCTCTACGGAGCGGGCAAAGGAAGCACCACTGCGTCTCGCTGGGATTCCTCGCCCTTGGCCTGGCCGCAGCCTGCTGTCTGCAGAGTAAGCATGGGGCGGGCCAGAGCGCGGGAGAGTCCGGGGAGTCAGGCTGCCCGCCGCTGGCCCTCGCCCACCTCGGCAGGACCTCCGGGCTGGTGGGCACGCGCAGCTCGCCTGGGGGCGCTGGTCGCGGACGGTGGCCGGAGGGCCGCCGGCAAAGCGGAGTCTCCCGCGGCCCAGCCGCCTGGGCCCCCGCTCGGTCAGCGCCCGGCCCTGGCCAGCGTTATCAGAGCCGGAAGCGGTCGGAGAGATAACCCGCTCCCAGTCGGGGGAACGCCTCCTCCGCAATATTTTTCATTTCTTTTTCCTGGAGTCAGTAAGCCGACTGCACCTGAGGTGCGCGAGACCTGAAGGGTGCAGGGCCCAGCCCCTACTGCTGGGACCAACTCCTCCACCCGTTCTCTCGGGTCACCAGCGTGTTCCATAAGTGTCCCCGATCACGCAGAGAAATCCACAGCGGACTCTCTTGAAACGGGATGATGGGGGTTTGGGCTGGGCGTTGGGCCTGAATGCAGGGTGGTCCTCGCCACTCTGCACTGAGCAGAGGGTCAGCACTAGAAACCCCCGCTGGATGATTCTGAATGCGACCCACAGCCCCACGGTCTTACTTTCTAGTTTAATCATTATCATTATTATGATTTCCATTTTACAGATTAGTCAACTGAGGTTTAAAGAGTGACCAGTGTGGGGCCACTGGAGGTGGGAGGACCTGTAGTTAGAGCCAGCACTTACTAAGGCACAAATGCATTCACCATCCCTCAGACTTTACAAGACTTCTATCATTTAATCCTCTGGGCAATTCTAAGAAATAAGTGCTACTCTTATCTGTTTCAAAAGTGAGAAACCTGAGGCACAGGGACGTTGTTGTAATTTGTGCAAAGTCACCAGCTAGCCAGTGGAAAAGCTAGGATTCAAACCTGGATGGTCTGGCACTTTTGACTTTTATGCCTCTCTGGCCCAGTTTTGGAGGCTGCAAATCTCAGAAACTCAGAAAGCCTGGCATGAAGTATGTGCCTCTAGCTCTCTTTTGGGGTAGATAGAAATAGCTGCTGTGAGTCCGTGGGGTAGGTAGGTGTGTTTGGAGTTGCAGTGATTTTTTCCATTGTTTCTCAACCCTCCAGCACATGTTTCCAGGCACCATTCTCAGACAAGGTCTGTACAGGTATCCCTGATTTTCAAGGGCCTGCCATTGTGTATACTTTATTCACTCACTCATCCAGGGCGCCATCTACCTGCAGGAAGCAGGCCGCAGTGGGTACTGGAGATAGCATGGTTCATAGTCTTGTCTTCAGACAAGCACTCAGGAGTGCCAGTTTGGGGTGGCAAGTTTGGGGAAGGTTTCTAGAGGCTGAAAACCAGACTATGGGAACCAAGGCAAGCCCTCCAAAGGGAGCCACACCTCCCCAGACTTGACAGATGGACAGGAGCAACCAGGGAAATGAAACAGAATACAAAGTATCCTAGGCAAAGAGGAAGCATGAGCAAAACCTGGAGGACAGGTAAAGGTTTTGCGATTCTTCACTTAATATTTGACTCAAGCACAGCTGTAAGCTCCAGGAAACCAGCCACTTTTCCATCTGTAAGTCCGTAGCACTTACCCAGGGCTAGCCAGGCTCCACCCCTGAAAAGACAGTGAATACCTGTGCACTTGCTTGAGTAAGGACTGTGCTTCAGGGCCAGCCTCAATGATGTAGAGCAAGCTCCCTCTCACCAGCTCCCTCCATTCCCTGCCTTTTCAGCCTCTGTCAAAAGCTGCCACCCAGAAAATCTGATGCTCATCACTTCCGCTGAAGTTCTTTTAAAGCACACCCCGCAAGGATGCACACACAAGCAGCCTGCCTTTGAAACCTCTTCTCTGTAAAGGAGACTTTTAGGGATGGGAGGTTTGTGTCCCCCTGAAATTCATATGTTGAAGCCCTAACCCCCAGGAAGTGATGGTATTTGGAGGTGGGGCCTTTGACAGGTAATTAGATTTAGTTGAGGTCATGGTGGGCGGAACTCCATGATAAGATTAGAGCCCTTATTAAAAAAGGAAGATGCCAGAGTTTGTCCTGTTCATCGTGGGCCAAGTCTTGATGTGCTGAGCAAAAGAAGAGGAAGTAGCATGCTGCCTTAGCAGGCATGCCCTGGGATTCAGCTCGCAGCCCCCTGACATGGCACTCCACAGTCCAGGGCACTCGGGCCCTGGGCTGCCTGCACATGGCATTTCCCTGGACTATGGGCTCGAGTAGAAACTTATTTACTTATCCAGAAGAAATGAGAGTAGGAGAGAGGTACAACTGGCAAGTTCAAAGTTGGAAAATTATTTTCTCCCCTAACTGATTTACTGGGCTGGGAAAGCACTGGTCAGCCCTGTGGGCAAAGGGAGATTGATACACTGAACCGTGAAGAGAGCACAGGACATTCCTTGCTCACGTGGGGACCAGGAGGCACACTGGTCTTTCCCCTTGCTGAGGTCCACCCCAGGGGGGGAGGCTCTGGTATGTACAGTGCTGACCCCAGAGGAGCTCAGCTGCTCTGGGGCTTCCTGGGGAACCCTCAGCCAGCAGAAGAGGAAGGTCCTGGGGAATGGTTCCAGTCCCAGTATTGGTCATGAGCCCTGTATGTGAGGACTCTTCCCTTCCCTGAGCATGCAGAACAAGGAGGGTGCTCTGGTTTAGTGCTTCTCAGCCAGGGCTGCACATTAAGTCCACCTGGGGGGCTTGTAAGACCTACAGATGCCCATGTCCCACCCCAGACAGTTAAATCACTGTCTCCGAGGGCAGGACCCAGCACTCTTTTGTTTTGCATTTAAGCTCTTCCAGTGATTTTGATATATGACCATGAGCAGAGAGCTTCTGGACTGGGCCATTTTCCTGTCCCTCTGTTAGCCCCGTCCTATGGAAACAGCTTGTTAGGAAGGGGAGAATGTGCTGAGCAATGGGGGAAGGCTTCCTGGAAGAAGAGATTTTAAACTAAGATTTAGAAGATGAAAAGGAATTAGCTATTGAGTCTCCTTTGAAAAAAGAGCTTTGAGCTTTTTTTACTTTTCTTTTTTTTTTTTTTTAAGATTTTATTTATTTATCTTTAGAGAGGAAGGGAAGGAGAGAAGGAGAGAAACATCAATGTATGGTTGCCTCTGTGAGTCCCCTCCTGGGAACTGGCCTGCAACCCAGGCATGTGCCCTGACTGGGAATCAAACTGCCATCGTGTGGTTCGCAGGCTCACGCTAAATCCACTGAGCTATGCCAGCCAGGGCCTTTTTTTCCTAAATATATTTTATTGATTATGCTATTACAGTTGTTCATTTTTTCTCCCCTTTATTCCCCTCTGCCCTGTACCCTCCCTCCCACCAGCATTCCCCCACCTTAGTTTATGTCCATGGGTCATACAAATAAGTTCTCCAGCTTCTCCTTTCCTATACTATTCATAACCTCCCCCTGTCTATTTTGTACCTACTGTTTATGCTTCTTCTTCCATGTACCTTTTCCCCCATTCTCTGCCCTCTTCCTCCACACTGATAATCTTCCATGGAATCTCCATTTCTGTGATTCTGTTCCTGTTCTAGATGTTTGCTTAGTTTTTTAGGTTCAGTTGTTGAAAGTTTTTAGTTTGTTGTCACTTTATTGTTCATATTTTTGATCATCTTCTTTTTCTTAGATTAAGTCCCTTTTTTTAAAGATTTTATTTATTTATCTTTAGAGAGGAAGGGAAGGAGAGAAGGAGAGAAACATCAATGTATGGTTGTCACTTTACTGTTCATATTTTTGATCATCTTCTTTTTCTTAGATTAAGTCCCTTTAACATTTCACATAATAAGGGCTTGGTAGTGATGAACTCCTTTAACTTGACCTTATCTGGGAAGCACTTTACCTGCCTTGCATTCTAAATGGTAGCTTGGCTGGATAGAGTAATCTTGGATGTAGGTCCTTGTTTTTCATCTCTTTGAATACTCTGTCCAGCCCCTGCTTGCCTGCAAGGTTTCTTTTGAGAAATCAGCTGATAGTCTTATGGGAACTCCTTTGTAGATAACTATCTCCTTTTCTCTTGCTGCTTTTAAGATTCTCTCCTTATCTTCAATCTCAGGTAATGTAATTATGATGTGCCTTTGTGGTGTGCTTCCTTGGGTCCAACTTCTTTGGGACTCTCTGAGCTTCCTGGACTTCCTGGAAGTCTATTTCCTTTGCCAGATTGAGGAAGTACTCCTTCATTATGTTTTCAAATAAGTGTTCGATTTCTTGCTCCTGCTCTTCTCTTTCTGGCACCCCTATGATTTGGATGTTGGAACATTTAAAGTTGTGCTGCAGGTTCCTAAGCCTCTCCTCATTTTTCTGAATTCTTGTTTCTTCGTTCTGTTCTGGTTAAATGTTTATTTCTTCCTTCTCTTTCAAATCGTTGATTTGAGTCTCAGTTTCCTTCCCTTCACTTTTGGTTCCCCATGTATTTCTCTTCATTTCACTTTACATAGTTTTTACTTTTTCCTTCATTTTGCATTTGTACTCAACCATTTCTGTGGGCATCCTGATTACCAGTGTTTTGGACTCTGCATCTGATAGGTTGGCTATCTCTTCATTGCTTAGTTCTATTTTTGGAGCTTTGATCTCTTCTTTCATTTGGGCCATATTTTTTTGTCTTGTCACAGCTGTTACATTTTACGGGGCGGAGCCTTAGGTATACACCAGAGTAGAGCAACCCACAAGAAGTGCTGTGGTGCCATATGTAGGGAAAAGGGTCCGAGAGGTACAGTGCTCCTTGCTCAGCTCTCGGCCAACTTTCAGTCAATTCTCCTGCTACCCACAAGCAAATTGGGCCCTTCTGGTGCTGATTCCCAGGTGTGTGGGTTTGTGTATATTCTAGGATCCTGTGGGTCTCTCCAACAAACTCTCCTATAAGGCTGGGAGTTTCTCCTACTGCCACAACCCCCACAGGTTTTTACTGCCAGAGGTTTTGAGGCTTTACTCCCCCAAGCTGGAAACCTGGGTTATATGGTCTGTCTTGCTCCCCAGTTGTTCTTCCTGGTTTATCCACACAAAATTGTGGGACCACCCAGTCTGCCAGCCGCAGCCTTGCTGTGAGTCCTCTTTGCCCCTCTGCTGCCTGTCTCCACCCCTCCTACCAGTCTGGATGAATGTTTCTTCTTTAACTCCTTGGTTGTCAGACTTCCATACAGTTTGATTTTCTTGCAGTTCTGGTTATTTTTTGTTTTTAAATTTGTTGTTTTTCCTCTTATGGTTGTGTGAGGATGTACAATGTATCTACCTACACCTCCATCTTGGCTGGAAGGCCTTGTAATTTGAAAAAAATAACTCTAACCATGGTACCCAGTCATGTACACATCTGAATTATCTTTTGATCACTCTACACCTCTGTTCCAAGTGCCCTCACACATCCCGTCAAGTCCTCCCAGAAGAAGTGTTAGGGGGTCACACTACCTCATTTCTTCCTTTGTCCTCCAGTTCCACAGACATTTCTGCAGAGGTGTCTGAGAAGGCTCCGATCTTCCAGTTCCCCAGGCTGGCCACTGGCCCAGGCCTGACCAAGTACTGAGCCCAGCTCTTCGGAGGGCAAACCCAGCAGTGCCTCACTCCCCCAGTGTTGTGCAGGGCCAGGGAACTGCCTCTGTGTGGCTTCCTTGGCATCTGAATAGAAACATGGCAGTGACTTGACCATAGCTTGTGGCCATTCAGAAGAGTTCAGCATTCCAGCAAGGGTGGCTTTTGCTTAAGGTGAAAAAGATTCCAGAAGGAATTCTACAGGACCCAATTTCAGCTCATCCAGTTTCTTGAGTAAGGGAATCATAGATTTAAAAAACACTCATTCCATTTCTCTACCTACTAAGTCATTTGAGCTAGAGGAAACAGCCTCTTCTACCCAACCCTCCAACTCCAGTCTCAGGTCTATGCTTCAGTCCCTGGCATAATTCCAGCTGCCCCTCCCACACCCTGAGAATGGGTGTTCACTACTTCAGTAAGCAGCTCAATGCATCTTCAAATAATTCTTAATAATAGCTAATATTTACAGAGAGATTACTAACTGTTAGAAAGTGATAATCTCCTTACACATATTGTCTCACTTCAGCTTCATTCTGCCACTCATGACCCTAAAGTGAAAACCATAGGCTGGGAAAGAATTATCGTACTTGTTTGTATTAATCTTTTTAAACATATGCATAGCTCACATTTATTTCAATGTTTAATATTACAAGAGTTTTCGGTCTTTATTTAGAAGTGCTGACTTTTGTAACCAGAACTACACTGTAGGAACTCAACTCTTTTTTTAAAATATATTTTATTGATTATGCTATTACATTTGTCCCATTACCCCCCTTCATTCCCCACCACTCTGCACACCCTCTCCCACCCGCATTCCCCTTTAGTTCATGTCCATGTGTCATAAGTTCTTTAGCTTGTACATTTCCCATACTATTCTTGCCCTCCCCCTGTCTATTTTCCACCTACCATCTATGCTACTTATTCTCAGTACCTTTTCCCTCCCTCTCCTCCTCCCACTCCCCTGCTGCTAACCATCTCCATTTCTGTGGTTCTGTTTCTGTTCTAGTTATTTGCTTAGTTTGTTTCTGTTTTTGTTTTAGGTGTGGTTGTTAGTCATTGTGAGTTTGCTGTCATTTTACTATACATGTTTTTTAACTTCTTTTTCTTAGATAAGTCCCTTTAATATTTCATAAAATAAGGGTTTGGTGATGATGAACTCCTTGAACTTGACCTTATCTGAGAAGCACTTTATCTACCCTTCCATTCTAAATGAAAGCTTTGCTGCATAGAGCAATCTTGGATGTAGGTCCTTGCCTTTCACGACTTGGAATACTACTTTCCAGCCCCTTCCTGCCTGTAAGGTCTCTTTTGAGAAATCAGCTGACAGTCTGGTGGGAACTCCATTGTAGGTT